CACCATACGATCTTGTCTTTTTCAGAAAGGCTCCAAAAATGTGGTGGAGGTAGTTTCCAAGGGGGGTGGGGGCGTCGTAGTGCTGGAATGTTGGGAAAGTCTGCCTGGGACATGTTTGTGATCTGGCTGTGGTGTGTAGACTGCTGATTGGGTCGGAGAGTAATGGGCGCATGAGAGCGGCTGCGTGAGCGGCCATCTGAAGAGGTAGTGTATGAGGTTGACGGTGAACGGCGACGCCGACGGCGTGCCGACGATGCTTTGGTAGTGGAGGCTGCGGGAGAGCGATGGTGCTGATCGCGCGTGCGACGGCTGCGGTGGCGGCGACGCCGTTTGCTGCGGCTTCTGCCGCGATGGGTGCGGCCAGTGGTTGTAGAAGGGGCCGATGTTGCTGTGATAGGTTGTGCAGGGGACTGTTTTTGAGGCCCCGGAGTAGATGTTGAGGATGCTTCAGTGGGGGGTGGTGGCGGTGGTGGCAGTGGTGGAGCGGTGGCTGTTGGCGGAGTAGTGTGAGTGACTGGTGTGGCAGTTGCGACGGTGATGGCCGGTGGAGAGGTCCCCTGAGTTGGATTGACTGAGGTGGGGACGTTGGGGGCTCCAGGTGCGGGTGGTGTAAGTGCGGCTGCGGGAGAAGTTGGATCGTCTGAGACAGTGGTGGTTGGGGCTGATGTTTGGTGCGGCGATGGGTGAGCCACCGACGGAAAGAGGAGAAAGGCCGCCAAACGCCTTGAGATTGGTCCCAGTGAACGGGAACCTGTTGGATCGGTGGTTGCGGCGGGGGTGCCTGGGGCGCTGGAGGAGCTGATGACGCTGGTAGTGCATGTGGTAAAGAGGGTGGATGAGATAGAGGTTGTGTGGGCAGGGTCTCAAATGCCTGCGGCTGAGGTGGTGCTGGGTATGCGTGTGCGGGAGTCACAAAGGTTGGTACTGGTGGAGAATGTGTTGGCATGGGATGTGGCCACGCATGAGGTGGTGGCTGTGGTGCAGTGGTCTGAAAGTGAGGAATAAAGGCCTGCTGTCGTGGGTGGGACAAAACGGTAGGAACAGGTGCCGTTGGTGGAGAATGGTGCCATGGCGGTGGCTGAGTGTTGACTGCGGGTATCGAGGGTGCGGTGCACGGTGGTGGCCAGTGTGGATAAGGCCAGGGGTACTGCATGTAGAGAAGCCAGTCCAAAAGGCTGCGAGAAATGGCGCCGGCGCGGCACAGCAGCTGAAATGAAAAGTTGGAAGTACTGGTGAAGTGTGGAGCCTGAATGCATCTGCAGTGAAGTAAGGTGAACTCGTGGCATGTAATGCAATTCCTGCGGTCTGTGGAGTGGTGTAGAGCATGTGGAAGCTGATCAAACGGCTGCGGATTAAAATTTGTGAAAGTTGGGAAAAAACGCACAATGCACAAACCTGATATCATGACGTGGTAATACCGAAGGAGTTCAGAGATTCTGGTGGGAAATCCATCGTTTATAGCCCGGCGGCTCGAAAATCAGGAAATTCAGGGATAAAATGGAAACCGTGGAATCAGTTATGGAAGTGGCGAACTGTGAATTCCTGCATGGCTTCAGCGCCTCCTTTCGGAGGGTCACACCCAGCACCCACGTGGGAAGACTGAGCGGTCCACACTTCGAACTTGGGTTTTCAGTTATATTCAGTTGTCTCGATGGGAAGGAAGGTGAGGGAACGGAAAGGCGCATAAGTCCGCAAAAAGCCGTATGGTTGAACAATGTTTCGACCGGTGTGCAGTGGCGAGCCTCTGTACAAATCAGCTGCGTGAGAAAGTGGAAGGGTTTGTGGGAGGTATCATGAACCACCATGAAAGCAAAAGAGAGATTGGAACGGCTTGGTCAAAAGTTCAGGTTGCAGGTACGTCGAAAGAGCGTCCTCTTTCGATATCCTAGTCTGAACCTGGAGCTTCGTTGGCTCACGCCAGGAACAGACCCGTGAGCCCCCTGCCTTTGATAGAAAGTGTCGGTGGTGGTGGAAAAGTAAAACAGGTGGAAACCCTTAGAACCAGGGTGTGACACACACACACACACATCCACCATCCGTTGTTGTCATTGTAGTATCTGTGGCTCAGGCCCTAAAAATCCAAAAATGTCCTTCAAGCCCTTCACACAAGCACCCTGCCTCTTGTGGGAGGCTAGACAAGTCAAAGTCACCTCAGCAGCATTCCCTCCTGCCCCAGTAGCATTGGAGCCATCTGGGGCTGCTTGGGCCCCAAGCATGATTTGATCCACTACTTGTTTTCATGGGGCCTCTGGTGAAGAAACATCACGCTCCACTGCCACTCCAAGATGCCGTCGCTGCATCTCATTGAGGGCTCGCCCATTGGAACACGAGCAGGCCGAGCAAGCTTGCTTGCAAAGATGTGGCTACTGATATTGAAGATATTCGAAGAGATTCAGGAGTCGCCTAAACTATGGTAGGGATGTTGAGTAGCATCGATGCTCGGAAGAAACTAAACTCGAAACTGTCTTTGCATCGGATGACCACTAGACGAATGAGCTGAAGCTGGCTGGGTCAAAACAATCATCTCAGCCGGGGCACACGTGTGGCCTTTTCAGAGGACATGTCCCAACAAGCTTTCAATGCCCAAGGACTCTACTGCCATGACAACCGCAAAAAAGAAAGGAACATAGGTAAGGGAAACTCGAATAAGGCTCCTTCATTATCCTTTATTTCTATTGTTGAATTCAATTTGTCATTTTTCACAATTGTCAAAATCCGGGGGCCCAAGCACCATGGCCCCAAATCCATGGGCACAGTGAGGAGTGCAGGCCGAACCTCCAGCAATTGGCCAAAGAGGCAACCCGTGATGAATGACACTGAAGTGACTGCAGTGGCCTCTTTGCGGCCCTTGCTCAAATCGATTCCACGAGAAGGCACATGGTCTCATTCTGTGTCATCCCTTTTCCCACGACCAAGATGGAGCAAAGTATGCAGCAGTATGAACAAAGGTTTGTGGTTGGCTTCAACAACCTGGCACTGTACCCATCTGCAGCGCATGGGCACTGTTGTCTGCCCATAATTGGGAACAGTATAGCTTCCATACAGTGCCTCTCCTGCTAGGGCTGCTGCCATGCTCCACGTAGCTGCCCTCTTCGCAGGGCGGGTTGCCAATGTTCGTGGCGCCCTCCGAGGCCTGTGGGATCTCACTTTCATCAGAACCCACAATATCTGCAGAGGTCTGGGTGTGTGTGTGTAGCCCTTGGACTCACAGGGATCCTTTTGGATTTTTTGCAGGGGGACGGGTCACCGCTGATACAAGTACTACCCGTCCACCTAAGAGGGTATCAGTTGGCAGTGGGGGACGCTCCACTCTGTACCTGCAAATTTGCCTGGACGTATTGGGTAACAGAAGGAAATCGGCGGACTGTGTGCGTCGGTTCCTTTCCTTCTGTTACCCTCCCCACCCTCCCCTACTCTACTCTATTGGGGCGATTCGCTTGTCTCGCCCCTAGCTATAAACAGGAGGCGTCCCTTTCCTTTTCTAGCTGCAAACTTGTAATGCTGGCCTCTAACTTGGTGCCACGGCCTCTAACGAACTCATGCTGACCTCCAACCTTGCTGCTTGATGTGTTTTGGGTTTTTGAGCTTGTGTTTTCTGAACTAGTAGCGCTGGCCTCAAACCTGGTGCCATGGCCTCCAACGCACTAGAACTGACCTCCAACCTTGTTGTTTTGGTGCTTTTCAGTTTGCGTCTTGTAAACTCGTAGCGCGGGCCTCAGAACCTGGTGCTTTGGCCTCCAACCCCTTAGCGATGACCTCCAACCTTGTTGCTTGGTGTCGCTTTCTGTTTATGCGCATAACCTACTAGCGATGGCCTCCAAACTTGGGCGCTGGCCTCCAACTTCCTAGAGATGGCCTCCAACCTACTTTTGTCGTTTTACTCAGGCAATTTGTTTACCTAGGTTGGCGTGTGGCAACCGCACTCGAGTCAGTACGCATGTCAATACTGTAAGTGTGTGGTGCAAAACATGCCCGCCATCTTGATGTTGTCAGGGGCAAGCATGGGTTCAAGTTCAAGTGCAAGAGCTCTGGACAGGCGGCTGCGACGCCCGTCATCAATGCCACAAAAACTGGGTTCTCAGGCAGCTTTGGACGAATCTCCAAATGATCGGCGTGCTTTTTGCCGAGAGATCGAGGGTCCGCCTTTGGGCCTGAGCACCTCATGGGGCTGCAGCTGAAGCTAGGCCTGGCAAGATTCACGGCCTCTAGGTACGAGGGGACGTGGTCACTGCATGTCACCACGGAATCATTCGATCCAACCGTCCATATTGAGTCCATACTAGGATTGAAAAATAAAACAAACACTGATAGCTGGCTCCGAATCAGCAACCTACCTCAACAGCTGCAAAAACAACAGGAGCTACGGGACTCTGCATATTACGGGTCTATGTGTATATATAGTGGTATATGTATGTATATGTATATGTATATAAATGTATATAACATGATATTGCCATCCGAAATATCCCAAGCCGACCCCCCAATCCCTCACACTCATCTATCCAGCCTCGACAACTGCCCTTCATGGCAGGAAATCAGACTGCAGCAGCGCAGCGACAAGGAGGAAGTCACAGCACGATGGTCAGAAAGTAGGGTACCAGCCGCCTTTATCTTACCTAACTAATCGGAGTCTTTTGTGCACCCTTCATGCAAAAGATATATATATATATATACACTTAGGTCTTAGGTCTATACTCTATACTTTGGTCCGATGATAAGGCCATGTGATCATCATTGCGTACTTGTGTCGCCCCTGCAAGGCGAAAAGAACAACATAATTATGTAAAGAAACCTGCACCCCAAGGTCAGGCAACAACATAGAAACTGGTCACAAGGCCTCGACATTCCCGGCACGCCAGAGGGAAAACGACCCCAACTGCACCGCACCTGAGGCATGTAAGTGACAATGCAAAGAATCAGAACCCTGATCAAAGAGAAAAAGTCTCTGGGCTTGAAAGTGAAGCACGTCTCACTCATCAAGATTCTTGCAAGCCTCAGTTGCTCCTTTTATCCGCTAGTCAAAGCAAGTGGCCGAGCCCGCCCGAAAGCCGCCTATGGCCGCCTGCGGGCCCATTGCCAAATAGTCTGTGGTTGGTTCACCAGAAACTTGTGGTATTTTCTGTGAAATATTTACAATGTCTACATATCCAGAACATCCAACACATCCATCCAAGAAAGGATCGATCTTCGCTTCATCGCTTCCGTCGGCTCCGGCTCCGGCGCCGTGCGCTTCGACCACACCTGCTCCTGGAGTTCCGCCGTGCGCTTCGCCGGGAGTTCTGCCGGCTCCGCCGGGGACTGCTTCGGATGTGCCGCTCTTCAACGGGGCGAAGGACCAATCCGGTCGGTGCGGGTGCGGGTGGTTCGCTGTCGTGCGAGGACGCCGATACCCTGGACGCCCGCGAAGCCGCTCTGGAGACATCGCCTGAACGTTCAGGGCTCCACTCAACGGACTGTTGCCAATCAGAACGCCACCAGCCTCTGGACCAATCACGATCCCAGGACCAAGCTTTCCAGGTCCAATCATCTCTCCACTTCCCATCGCCCCAACCATCCCTGCCCTCCCAAGTCCATTCATAATTATCTGACTGGCTCCAATCTTCCTTGGGTTCCTTGGATGCCTTAAACTCAGTAACCTTTGGTGGAGCTTCAGTGGGTGGCCCCGTTGGCCCTCCAAATGCACGAAGCTCCGACTCTCCATGGGCGAAATGACACTTTGCTCCAAAGCTGCAGTAGCCCGTTGGCCCGTTGAAGTTGGCACAAAGCTGCGTCTTATATAGTTTCAATCGTCGCTCTCGCATAACATCGTCTGGCAGCAACTTGAGGGGGAGCGGTTTCGGTAGAACTGGCACCTGCAATCCTGAGAATCCTGACCGCTGAACCGATTGAACCTGTTTCAATTGAAATGCGTTTAGGCAAAGGCCTAATCTTGAGACTTCATGGGCTTCCGGAACGTCAGCCACTAAAGAGACGACGGAGCCGGGCACCAGCATTCGCAATGGGCAAGCCAAGGGATCCGCACAAACCTGACCATTCAAGCCCAAGACCATAGACATAGGGTCCTCACGAGGCACCAGCTGGGCCTCAGTCAACTTCTGTGAGACGATCCGCTTCAAGTTGTATAAAGAAATATCACTCGGCACCTGCAATTCCAAAGGTATTCGAATGATTAGCTCCTCCTCGCCATCGACCTCAGCTTCAGCAGCTCCATCAGCACCATCCTTGAGCACCTGATCCTCGGCTGCTTCAGCGCCAGCTTCAGCTGTCCCTGATGGTGTCAGCATGTCACTTGCCATGTCGTTATGGGCCTTTCCTTTGAGCCACTCAGCGGCTGGGACGGAAAACGAAAACAAGAAACAACATGTAGAACTGATTGGGGTCTTGGCAAACTGAGTCAAACTCCTTCCACCACCTAGCAGCACCCGAATGCTGAATGCAGCCAGCGCATCTTTCACCACCATACAGCTGCCAAATGTCACAGGTTGCTCCACTCATGGGAAATCCACAGCAGTAGAAGATTCTAGATCAAGAATGAACACTGGTGCTATTGCTGAAAAAAGGCCAGGGATCGAAAGTTGGTGGTCAACATCCTCCAATCTATTGGACTCTATTGGAGTCCCAGGGTGGGAGCTGCCAGCAGCCGTGCGGCCAAATGATTCAAGCTTGGGCTGTGCCCACTGCACAGACGCTTGAAGAATGCCAATCTACTGTCTGAGCGGAGCATGTGCAAAATGGTTGAGTGGAAATTCAGTGGTTCGCAAAACGATTGCAATATGAAGATATATTGGGTGAGTGACTTCGACATATATATATATATTCAAATTTTAAAAATGCATCACTTCGTGACAGGATCATCAAAGCATCCCCCAATTCTTCGGGGTTGCCAGGCTCCGCTCTGCCCAGCAGAATCAATTGCAGCCCGAGCGTGAGACACGCCCTCACCTACAAGTTGTGGCCCTCGTAGCAAGCCAACACCAACTTGCACTTCTGTACAAGCTTGCAGCCTCCTCAAGGCCCTGAACAAGCCTGAAGATTTTTGGGGCGAAGTCATGCGTGGACAAATTCTCAGGTCCTTAAATGGAGCTGCAAGCTGGTCACCCAATAGTTGGGCGACCTAGCTATTTCAGGCACCTAGAGCCTGAGATGAAGCGATCTAGAGCTTTTGCATGCTTTTGCATGAGTTCATCTGTGTCACACCGCAGGCAAGGGTGCCTTTACACGACTGAACTGAGTGTACATGGACAAGGGTGCCTCGGTGGCCAAAAGATCAGGGAACAACTACTCGTGGAGAAGACTACATGTTTGACGAAAACACAAACGTCACAGAAGAAAACCAAATAAGGTGAATATAACATTACATTTTACTTTATCATATGTTAAGTGTACATAATGTATTTATATTATATATAATATATATACTGAAAATCCGGAAAGCTAGCTTAGAAAAAGAGTTCTTCGACAGAGTCGTTCTCCAACATCGCCACAACCTGACCTTTTGTCCCAGCAACATCTTCCCAAGCTGGGTCTTTTCCGACAAAAATCCCAAGACGACATTCACGCCTGATTCAACCCTCGTGGCTTGGGCATTGCGCACCTGCAATCGGCCAACTGGATAGCACATGCTCCGTACTCCATCTGTGCCAGGGTCCAAGAAATCACTGCATTTGGATCCACGTTGGTTCTTCGTTTCCGCAATGTTCCTTTTCTGCCACTTCCGCCATTTCGACCGTTTCAGGTTAAATGGTGTTCAGTCATTGGCCAGTTGTTGTATTATTGAGGAGAACAGGTAGGTTGAGCTGACTTCCCGATAGAATGCAACAAGTTTGTATAAGTGTGTTACTTTCTGACACTTGAGTCACTGCGTCACTGCCAACAGCTGTGCTGCTTGACTCCAATTTGGACCACAAAAGCTTCTTTCCGATGGCTAATGGTTTCTGCGATGCTATGATTAGTCTTCGGTGAAAAGGATCACCCAACAGCAAACCCTTCAAAACTCGTCAATGGGGATCCACCGTTTTGGATCAAAGCCTAGCTGCCTCCATTGGAGAAGGACTGCTAAGGCTAAGGAGTCTGAGTCTGAGTGATTCCTGGTTTCTCACACCGCGGCGATTGCTTGGCGCGCCTTGATCAGTAGAAGCTCTGGAGCTTGACCGGACTTTCAACACCGTTGGTAAGTGCATTGGCTGTCCAGCCTGGACTCCACAGGGTGGTACGCAAACTGAAAAAATTGTTTTGCCATTCAGGTTTGCAGAATAAAGCCGTGGGCACCCTACTAGAATTTGCAATTGGAATCTCACAAGTACCCTGATGCCACAACTTCGCTCAAAGTAGCCGTCGATGTTCTGACATTCCTTGGGACAGGTCTGGCTGAGTCAAAATTGGCTGGTCAATTGGGCTCACAGAATAACGGTATTCATGTGCGGTCCATGGGCTATGAGGACCTCCGTTCCTCCTGGGTTTCCAGGCTTAATCAATCAACACTAGACCGACCATGCAACTGAGCAGCGGGGATATCAGGACCTTCCCCCAAGCGCTGCAAATAGTCAACCAAATACTCTGCTTCAATCTCAGAACGTCCTGAGTAGCTTGAGCACTCCTATCTGAACAACGGTTTCTGTATGAATATGATTGAAGTTGCGTTTAAGTGTGACGTTGCTAAACCTAAAGAGGAATGAATGGTAGACCGACCTTCGTCATGCGAGAAGTGCCGCAGTTGAGGTGAAGGATAGTTTCAAGGCTAACACGAAAGGTAGATGATGTTTACGAGGGTCTTGGCATGTCTTGGCCAACGTCACCCGAGAAAAAGGCAGTGCAGCAACTTGATGGCCCAGCCTTCACGGTCACGGCGTGACAACGCGCCAGGAACGCAGTGGCCCCAGCTGTCCCAGTCGACTTTCAATGGCACAATGTCACCTTGGGATAAAGAATGTCACTGACAGGGTGCCATAACTTCGATCATCACTAATTCTATTGAATTCTTGTTTCGAATAGCTTCTTGCTCCTAGTAGTAAGGCCAGGAGCCCCTAGTAGCGTCCTTGTTCCTGATGCCCTTTGCTCCTAGTAGCGTCCTCTTATTGAGTCACATTACATGCCCCTGAGCTCTGAAGCTAAAACAGGCGGCAGAACATCAATTGCTTAGCCACGTGGCGCATGCCTGGGTTCTTTTCCCGCACCATGCGTGGCACATGGTCCTGCTCGTTGGCCCAAATGATGACCGCAATACGCTTTCCCGGTGCGGTGCCTGTGCAGAGTGGGACGGGGACATGTCTTTGAGCATCACAAACCGTCTATGTCTATGCTGCTGTTGAGTTTGACTGCACCTTATTCACACCCAAAATGTGCCTGGAGCTTCCGGAGGCACTGCGTGTTTGAAGAGATTGTTGAAAGGCCTGCAAGTACGCAAGACGCTGCTCTTCGATCTGTTTCAGTCAGGTCAGATTTTAATGTCACAATTATATACATGGTCACAAGCCAGCTACTCAGCGGCTTTCTCGCTCAGCAAGTCAATCAACCTTTCCCCGACCCATGTGAGACTGTATCAAGTGACCATGTGTATGCCCGTCGCCCGTGGCATGCCAAGAGATGCCAAGAGGCTCGTCGAAGGCGAAAATGTCCCCATTCTCCGTTACAACCTGCGTTTGCATTTCCACATTCGGTCACTAAGGCACAAGCCAGCCCAACTCTAGATCACAATTCCCACGAATGCACCGCACCATAACTAAACTGGGACATCCTCTGGCATCTGCAAAGCTCGAAAACTGCAAAGACATGCATAGACGTTGTCTGTTTGTGTGTTCTTTTTGGGATGTGGGGCTCTTCGCTCTTCAGGTCACAGGGCCGCAAGGTTCCGAGAATCTTCTGAAGTGCCCTTCGTTCAGCTTCAGCGCCTGGTGCTCTTCATGGGTCACCGGGTTTTGGAAGGCAAAGTATCTGCCCTGGCCCAGGCTGATGCCAAGCGTCGCCTAGGTCGGCGATCTCTCAGCTTGCTACAAGACGCAGGGGAGCAAGGTCAGAGATTGAACAAAGAGTTGCCAATTGATGCAAGTGACAGTGGCCCTGGGACACCTGTCCTGGTAGTTATCATGGTGCATGGACTTCATGTCATCCTCCCCTCTATACCTGCTGAAAGCAACTCTCGGCTGCACGTGAGCGTTGGAGTACTGCGTTGCCAACTTGTGTTTTACCTCTGTTGGGTCATGTTTTATAGACTGCCGTTTGGCTTGCTCATTCCTGCGCAGGATGCCCTACCAACAGAAAGATGTGCGCTGATCTAGCTTTGAACTCCCATACACCACAATTTGCCAAGACCTAGGTGCGCTTTGGTTCAGGATTTTTCCTTACATATTGAATCTACTGTGATTAACTGTGACTTGCCAGAATGCGAGAGGCTCTCGGCTAGCTGATTAGGTTGGCAGCAATATGAACTTTCAATGAAACTGCAGTCTCCAGCACACTAGGATCTGCTTCAGCCCTGACAGTGTGAAGAAAGCGAGTCATGTCATCAAATGGTAATGCTTAATGTGTGTGTGTATACATGTAAATAGCATACTGTATTATTGATATACAGTATATTGTATTTGTATTGCTGCGTGCGTGTGTGTGTAACCCTTGGAATCACAGGGATCCTTTCGGATTGTTTTGCTTTATTTTCGCTTTGAATTTTCAGCAGGGGGGATGCCGGGGATTTCCATGGTCGGCATCCAACGAAGACACCATGGATTTCCTGTGATATGAGTCAGGGACGCCTGACTCACGTACCTGCTTTTTCCTTGTACTGAATGGCATGAGGCTAAGCCCAGGACCTCAATAGCTGCAGACATGCACGGAACGCCGTCAACCTGTCGCCTCGTCGGTTCGTGGCCTTTAACTACAGGAACTCTGGTCCCCTTCACCTGGCTTTTCAGGATTTGGGTCTCTTAGGCCGGCGTGTGGCACCGCAATCAAGTCAGTACGCATATCCATGAGTGTGTTTGGCTTCGTGCCAACCCGGGATGAGCCCGCAGAGTGCCTCCCGTGGACCCGTCGAACGGGTGTACGTCGAACGTATCCACTGCCCGGATACAGAGCAGCTCGCAGCGAGCGTAGGTGGCCTAGGCCGTACGTACGATGATCTTTGTCTCATCTTTGGAATACCAAGCTGGCTCATGCCTTTACGTGACCGCAGCGGTCAAAGCAGCCAGCCATTTCGGCAAGGCACAAGGTGACCAGAGCGGTCAAAGCCAATTTTAGGTTGACTGGAACCTGTTGGAGCCTTAGTTTTTCAGTTGATCCTCCTCCTCTTGCCATGTTCCCTTCTCCGACTGGTCTCCACCCTGTGGACGGCATCACGATGAGGGCCCAGACTATTCTACATCGAGAGATTCTTCATCTACATGGTTTATTGATTCTCGCCATTTCCCTCCTACGCACCCGCTTCGCTATGCTCAACCCTTCGTTTATGGACCACATCACCTCACCACATATTCAGCTACAAATTCGAGGTCTAGACTCTGCGATTCGACAGGCGACCCAGGCTATCCACAATGGTGTGCACTATATCCAGGAACTCCTCACCACCTTTGGGATGATGCATGCCTTGAATTGCGACACTACTCAAGTTGATGCTGAACTACGTGGATGCTCGACCTTCCCTGACCCCCGCCTTCCATCTTTTCCTGCTTCTCCTTTGGGCCCGACTACGACTCGAAGTATGACATCTACCAGTTCCATTCCGGCGGCATCACCGATTCCGCCACCGAGGACCCCTACCATTCTTACTCCGCATCGACCTGTGATTAATCGATCCAGTACAGCACCGTCTCGCTCTCAGTCTCACCCTCGTTTCAACTCTAGAAATCTCTAGATAACTCTGTCGCTCACTCTTCCAATCACGAGAGAGAAAATGTCCTTCCCTTTTATGTTTCTAACATGCTCCTGTGCCTAGAGACACTTCCTTACAACTCTACACATTTATTTCGTGTGGCTCTCAGCGTTCTCACGCCTATACCTCACCCCTTCGAGTTCGCACTCCTTACTCCTTTTCGCCGCCATGTCGATGCCATCCACGACGACCCCGACCAGACCTACGGGATTGGCCTCCATCGCTGGCCTACCTGCTGCTGCTCATGAGGTACTTCATCGTGAACTCCTTCACATACACTCTTCTTTACACTTGATTCTTCTGATCTTACGTGGACCTCTGGATTCCGTCACTCCCTCCATTGTGGACTCGATCACCTGCCCTCGCCTCAGCGCTACCCTTCGTGCACTGGAGACCAGCATTGAACAGATTCGACGATCTACCTGTACTACATTGGTCTACGCCGATGCACTATGCTCCACTTTAGCATTTCCACATCCTATTGGCCAATCGGTTTCCTCTCCTCCATCCTTTTCTTCACCCAGACACTCGCTTATCCTCTTTCCCTTCTCCACCCGTGACGACGACGATGACTACGACCACGGATCCCTCTCCTCCTCAAGCCCCTCCTCCTTCTCTGACTCCTTCGGCTCCACCTTCAACCTTGACGAGGATGCCAAGTTCTCATTCGCCCTCTCGGTCACGATCTCCTCCGCGAAGATTCAGACTTTAGCCGATTTCTCACCCACCGAACCACTTAGTTTTTGCAGAGAAAAGCATTCCTTTTCCACTGCTTTCTGCTTCATGATTGATCACCCATTTTCATTTTGTCCTTCTGGTATCTCATTGACGTTACTCATTTCTCTTTTCCTATTGTACCTTCGGCTCGCTAGCGACTGCTCGTTTCGCTCCCGTGTTTCTTATTGCCTTTATTGCCTTTCCGGCCATGGCTTCGACATCTACACCACTTTGTGGTTTTGCACCGATTCCAGGTCTTCCCCCTCGTGCTCAGGCTATGCTACATCGTGAACTTCTACTTGTACATGTCCTTCTGGCCCAGGTCCATGCATTACTCCACATCCCACTCAGCATTCGCACTATTCCGTTCATGTCTCGGGTGACACACCCACAACTTCGAGCTCACCTTGAAGGCTTGGACAATACGCTCCTCCTCGCTCTTCGTCTCAACCACACCGCTGTACACTACACCCATGAGCTCCTTACCGCCCTGGGCCTCCTTCATATTATTCAACAGAGCCCGGAACAACTTGAAGACGAACTTGAAGGCCGCACCGACTTTGGCGATCGGCCACCCCTCTCTACACAAACTGGTACGCCTCACTCTACTACGACTTCATCGCGAACTACCAGGACCCACAACACCACTGCCCGGATGCCTATCTCTCCTAGTCCTCCGCCCTCTCGCCATGTACCACGACCTCGTCTTCACATACGCTCGAGATCTCGCTCTCGCCCTCGAACGACCAGATCTTATCTTCCTTTTCTTAGTTGTTAATCCTTTTGAGAGTAACGTTTTTGGGCGACTACCTGCCTCATGGCGAGCTCTGGTTCTTCTCCGGATTCCAATCGCCCTCATCGACGACATGATCTTGGTCGCGCCTCTCGTTCACCGGATACGATGCCTCACACGCACATCGAGGAAGTCGACTATGATGCTGATGAAAACAATCCCCTACCATCCATCAACCCACCACCTGGCAGAGAGACAAGCGTAGGGCCCTGCCAGTAGAAAACACTCAATTTCTTCTGTCACTTGTTTACTTTGTATTATTTACATCGCAACTCTTGCGTTGATTCACACTTGGCTCTGGATTTCCGATCTCACCTTTGTATTGCCCTCACCCTTACGCTATGAGTCGACCACCCTCCCCTACCCGGTCCCATCCACGTGGTCTCACCCATCATCCTTGTGGCTTGGCTCCGACGGAGGGCATCCCCATGGTGGCACAGGCAGTTCTACATCGTGAACTTCTTCATGTACACGTTTCTTTGGCCCATATTCACTCTCTTCTTCACCAACCTCTTGCGATTTGTTCCACCCCACTCCTTGATCGGTTCAAGCATCCACATCTTCGCGCTCGGCTTCAGGGTCTGGACAACACTCTCCTCCTTGCCCTACGCGTCAATCACACTGCCGCCCACTATACACACGAACTCCTCACTGCCCTGGGTCTACTCCATATCCTGCATCACAGTTCAGAACAACTCGAAGATGAACTACAAGGTCGCAGAGCCTTTGCGGATCGCCCACCTCTTTCCGCCACATCGCTCCCCCACCTATTACGACTTCTTCTTCAATTACCAGATCAGGGGCACTTCAGCTCGTGACCTACCTTCAGGAGTCCGGCCTCATTTCCTACCTGATGGGCGGCCTTGCAGAGACCCGCCTCAGCCCTGGACCTCAGCAACATTTATGGACCACACCTTTCTGGCGTCACATCATCCTCATCATCCCCACCGGCACTCACAACCTTTGGATGGACATCCCCAACCACACTTTTCAGCCTTGGGGTCGCCTTCTTCACCTCGTTGAAAATCATCGTCAAGCTCTCGTCGACTCGTGGATGATGACTCCCGCCCTTTCAGCTGGGAAGAATGCGAGCCCATGTACATTTGGATGGCATGTGCCAACGAAGACCCATCCAAGCTGCCGTGAAAACATACCTAACAGTCGGTGCCGTGGCTCATAAACACACACACACACACCTGTGCCGGCGCCGGCACTGTTTGGGAGAACCCCTGTCCAAAGATCCAGATTGATGGATGTGAGTAGTGATAGCTGCGCAATTGAGTCAAGGGCATCTTCAAGTGCAGGGTCTCTCCAAGCGCAGAAGAAGCAGGTCTCTTGGAGGTGACAATGTCTGGTGGTGATGAGGGGGAGGCGCCTAACAGTCGGTGCGGTGGCTCATGCCCGACGGCCTCACTACTCGCTCTCCTTTTCCCGGTTCCCACATTCGGGGAGGCGCCTAACAGTCGGTGCGGTGGCTCATGCCCGCGGCCTCACTGCTCGCTCTCCGTTTCCCGGTTCACACTTTCTCACCCCCC